TTATCATCGAGCTGATTTTTGCAATTGATTGTGAGACTCTCATTCAATAAATGTCCTTTTTCATTTCCTTCATATATACCAAATTAATTATCACCATAATTTGCTTCAATATTCTTTGTTGTCCCTTTGACAATTTTAGACTTTGCATCTTTAACAAAAAATGTTTCCAACTTTTTTAGTTTAGGAATGTTACCGTCAGGTTTGCAAGGTATAAAGCTTTTCTGCAAGCTGTGTAAACTGAAAGCTTTTACTTGAGAAAAGAAATCAATGAAAGGAGACGGCTTCCGTAGGCCTGGTGATTTTCTTGTCCTTGTTTGATCCATTCTTGATGGTGGACGTAGAATGGAAATTGGGTTATCCGAAAGTTTTCCACCCCTAACACGTTCTCCTCTCATGTCTCTTCGATGATCTCTGTTGTTAGCGTTGTTCATCTGATTTACTAAATTCGCCACCTATTCAATCGAAGCAGTTAGAATCGCGGTAAAAGTTATAGTAATTTTCTCAAGATTTGCTTTGGTCGTCAGTTGATTCGCCATGGTTGTCAAGCTACAAAAAGAATAGGAAAAACCTGCTCTGATGTCAACTGACACAATCAAAAATATGAAAGGAATAACAAGCTCTAAACCTAGAATAAGAACACAGGGTTACAAGGGCAAAACCTATCAGATAAACTCTGAAATCCACCAAAAAGAGAAAATAAAATTTTGAATTTTATTATAATGAAAGACAATCCTTATGACCATGCCAAAGATATTTAAATAAAAAAACAAATAAATCCTAATGGGCCTTTAATCCAATACAAAATAAAATAAATAAATAAATAAAATAAAATATAAATTGTTAAAATGGTAGAAAATAGTAAAATATTGTTTTCGGGCCTTAAACGAACTCAAATGGATAAAAAAACTCATTATTTTCTGCATAGTAGCGTGTTAAAGTCGTAGGACAATTCCCTTTCTGAAAAGGTATATTACGAATCATTATGACATTAGACGCCAAAATTATGCAAATCCTTCTAAACCGTTCTTACGCGCGACTTCTTCTTTGATACACGTAATCAGTCTTTCTACATCACTAATAGTAGTATTTTTCAAACCAAACAAAAAAATTCTTGAAAAAAATTCAAGCTCTGATAGACGGCTCATATGGATTAGTCCATTTTAACAATGTTACTTTCACGCTTCAGTAAGAATTGTAGAACAAAAAACGCGTGTGGTAATTGAGGGCAGAGTAGATTTGAGGACTGATCAATTTGATGGCTAGGGTCCCTCCGAAAGAATCACATGTCTTGGGTTGTTAATGGAACGTCCTTAGTTGTTTATAATTAGGTTTTGTGATCCACACTACAAAAAAAGCTCATTAACGATGTGATTTTCACGTCATAACGTCGAAAATCACATCACAATAGGTTTTTTGCGACGTGATTGAACACGCAGCAGCAGAGCGCGTGACAACTTTTTACAACGCGAATTTCATATCACAAAGTTGTGACGTGAAATTAACGTCGTAACACTTTGCACATATATCAACCACGTTTCAATAAGAGCAGGCAGGACAAAGGACGTGTTAGAGCAGATAGGCAAGCTGCGTCGTGATTTTCATGTCACAACTTTGTGACGTGAAAATCATCTCACTAAAACAATTATTTTTATTTTAAATTAAAATCTGAAACAAACAAGTTGCGACGTGATTTTCATGTCATAACTTTGTGACGTGAAAATTACGTCACTAAAACAACTATTTTATTTTAAAATTAAAACCTAAAACAAACATTTGCATTTTATTTTTATTAAATATAATAAATTAATAAATATTAATAAAATAAATAAATAAAATATAATTAATAAACTAATAAATAAAAACTAGAAATAATAAAAAACTATAAATATAATATTACTAAATATAATATTATTAAATATAATATATTAAAAATGTTTAATTAAATATCTTACACAAATTAAAATTTAAAAAAGCAAAGTAAAAATATAATAAATCCTATGGGTCGAAAAACTCGTCAATGTTAAAATCATCGTTATTCTCCTTATCTATCGGTTGTTAACCACCAACTCTTTCATTTCCACCGGCTTGATTACCACTCATTTAGAATTGCATAAATCGCCGCATTTGCTCCTCCATATCACTTTGCCTCTTTGTCATTGTCTCTATTAGCCGTTGTTGCTCTTCCATTTGAGCCTTCAATATAGTCTCACGTTGCGTTGACTCACGTCTCGCCTCAGTTAGTGCCATTTCTCTTACTGTTTCTAGCATTTCAGGTGTAAATTGTGGTGGACGTGACAATCCTTCCCCATCTCTAACTATTTGAAATAAAGTTCTATCCCCTCTTCTCAATGTGTCCACCAAATTTCCACCACAAAAAAAACACCCATTAGGCCGCTTTTTGCCATTGACTTGACTACAAATATAAAAATCCACACGTAGATTAAGCGGCTTTGAACCTCTCGGAGTATATTGTGGATTATGAACCAAAAATTCTACGAACAATGTCTGATAATCCTCCTACAGTTACAATAAAACTTGAAAATTTCAAATCTCTCCCTATCTGTTAAACTCTGCACGCCAACCTGTTTATTTTTTTTGTTTTAAAATTTTGACGTGATTATCACGCCATACTATTTATTTAAATTTTTTTCTAACTTTTCTCATGTGCAAGTTTGATGTTCAATTTTTTAATATTAAAAACATGTAGCGACGTGAAAATCACGTCGCAATCACGACGTAATTCTCCTTTATTTATCATGTGATTTTCACGCCACTAAATCACGTGATTGAAGAGCGTTTTTCTTGTAATGTCATGATAGACCACTTACTTATAATTGAGCTCTAATAAATTAGATTTTGATATCAAGTGTCTGAAAGATTAACTCTCAACTTGAGATTACTCATAAAGAAAATTCTACAAAAATAATCCCTTAACTAAGAAAAGTTTTGAAAATATTAATCTTAATGAGAGAGTAGTTACATAATAAAAATCTTATATTGATGTGTTATTTCTCGTGATTTTTTCTCGAACTCACCTGTAAAAAATAAACCGAGAAAATATACTATTGTGAAGTGCAATTATAGATGTATGTATGTGTGCCTCCGTGCAAAGTGTCGTCCGGGAGGTTAAATCAGCAAAAGTAAAAAAACGATATGATTGGCATGTTTCGTGATTGTTCTAAATTTCTCACATCGTTTTCCAAGTACTACCTAATATGGTGAAGAGGCTAGTCAAACAAATGACAAAACTATGTAATACAAACTCATTGCATTGCGATGATCTTCTTAACTTTAAAATCTAGTGGCCCCAATACGACATTTTTATTTGTACAGTCACCATAATGAGGTTTGTGTTGGAACTTGTAACAATAATGCCCCATTGACAGACTAAATGTTTTACATAAATAATAATAATGATAATTTAGTACTATACAAGTTTATGTTAGTTATTTTCAAAACATTCATTCATGGTTTTTTATATAATGCAAATAGCTAACTTCTGTGTTTGATTTCAATGAGGAATGTTCAATTGACATTTATGTTTGCGTGTAAATATCTATTTAAGTGTCACATTGTCAATTTTATAGGTCTTGCAATTGAGTTTAGGCACTTATCTAGTGATCTTTGTTGCTTTAGAGGAACCATAATCAATATGTGAACGGAGGAGTACAATTTGTTGCAGTGAATCCGAGTTTTTGATTTGGTGGAGAGGAATTGACCTGAAAGATTTATGTACGAAATTACCTACTCAAAAAAAGGAAGAGGAAAATGTTATGCGTTTTTTTTATTTTTTAATTTTTTAATTTTTACTTTACTATTGAATCTTAATCTTAGAGGTTAAGGGCGAGTAAAAACAATCTTTATATTTTTATAGTTTGATGATAATTTATTTTTAACTATCAATCAAAACTAGTAGAAAGTAAGTGAGAGTTAACAACAAGTATATCTTAAAATGTGAGTTAAATTATCAACCGTTATATTTAAACACATGTTTACGTGATATTTTATGAAATATGACACAACATATACGTTTATCACTTGAAACTTGAAATTTACTAGTAATAGCCATTATTGGATAATGAACATTATATTTTACTAATACATTTTCATTGCCTTTGAACACTTGCCGATAATAACAAGGATAATGGACATATTAATACATTTTCATTGCCTCTGAATACTTGCAGATAATAACAAATTTTTTTCAAGAATAACAAATTGATCCTTCTAAACTCGATTATGTTAAGTGTATATATATACACCAAGGTCTTAATTGTGTGTATGAATGCATTTGGAAATAACTATCTACACTTGATCTGAACTGATCTTTTGATATAAGTATTTTCCTAAATGTTTGCATGTATTCATATATTTAAGTTGTTTTCATTTTATAATTTATAAAAAAATTATTCCATAAAATATGTCAAATCATTTCTTTTTTAGTATGGGAACACTTTTTTTTATTGATCTATTAGAACACATACTTAAATAAATATTTCTTAAAAGGAAAAAAATATATTAATCAACTAAATTGATATATCTAACTTATATATAATCTAAATATATTATTTATTCAATAAATTTAAAAAGTCAAAATTTTCTTATAAAAGAGAATGGAGGGAGTATTCACTGCCAAATCATATGAATAATATAATCACAGAGACAACATAAAAATAATTTATACATAAATATTATTTTCATACCAGGTATAGATACTGTAGTAATCCAATAAAATATTAAGAAACAACAACATATATTAAACTAAAAACAAGTAAATAAATTTCACATTATAAAGAAAATGATAAGTTGCAAAGTAAACCAACTTTTGACCTCTAAAAACCAAGTGATGGAAGTGAAAACCTTCATAAACATATAGAATAACTAATTAAAATGCTAATTAAAGATAGTAAACATAAACTCATTTGAAATAACAATCCATTCTTCTCTAATTAAACCTTAAAAAAACTAGTTAATAGAATGATATGATGAAACATTGTGACCTAATTAGAATAAGCAGTAGTACCCAAACGAAGCTCAAGATCCAAGTTATCATAATCACCAGGCAAACCTATCTCCAAATCCATCCTTATAATATTCTCACCTTTCTTCAACATTCTACAGTCATGATCATCTTCACATGCAAAAACATCACATTCTTCCATCTTCGATTTCTCCGAACTCATTGTACTCAAACTAGGGTTCAACAAAATACCATCCACAACAAACAAAGGTAACGTGCAAGTAATAGGCTTAAGAGTTGTTGCTAAAGAGGAAGAAGAAGATGAAGATTGTTGCAACAACGATGAGTTTGAGAAAAAGTTATTAGGGTTAGTAGGGTTATTATTAAGGTTAAGCATAGAAGAACCTTGAGTTTGAGTTTGAGTTTGAAGTTCATGATGACTTGTTGGTGGTGATGATTCTCTAAGCCTTGCTCTATCTCTTCTATGAACATTCATGTGACCACCAAGTGCTTGAGCTGATTTGAATTCTTTTCTACAAAAGCTACACGTGTATGATCTCGGTGGCCATGGATGAAAACCATTCATCATGTAATCCTCCGAAGACGATCCATTATTACTACAATGAGAAGGACTCTTGTTGCTGATAATAGGACTATTGTAATAAGTTTGATGATAGCCTTTCAAGTTTGTGTTCATATTGTTCCTCTTCATCATGCTATCAAAAAGAAACTATCATATATATAGAGAAATGACCTATTTTAGAGAGAGAGAGAGAAGAAGAGTGGCTTGAGAAGAAAAATGGTGAGTGATGATGATGATGATGAGAGGGTAGTATAATAGTATATAGGGATATTTGAGTGTATATAGAAAGAGAGAATGCATAAATTTTGTAAAGATGAGAAAAAGGAATCCTATTGGTTGGAGAGATAGTGGTGTGAGTTTGGTCATTGCTTACTAAATTTGGAACTGCCAGGGTTACAAAACTTTATGCCATATTTCTGTCACTGGTCAAGTTAACATGACATATTCATTTTTCTTCTCGGTAAAGATTCAACCATTAACTCTCTTTCTCTTTGTTTCTCTCTCTTAATACATCACAGGTAGTAGAAGTAAAAGAGGGAAGAGTTAATTATGAGTATTAGATCATAAATAGACATGAGGACTTTCTAGTCAATAGTCAGTGGTATAAGCAAGAACTCATAGGTTAGCTAAGCTATAACCGGGGTCCAGGGTATGGCTTTTCTTTCCTACTTTTGTGTGTGTTTTTTTTTCTCAATCAATTATGAAGTTGAATGAGTATATGTATATGTTTTTGGACCTGCATTGAGTTAGGTCAAATTGAACTCAGATTATAGTTTTTGTTCAAGTTTTAAAGTATAGTTTCTTTTCAAATTAGAATAATCTAATGTAATTTTGTTGTACTATATTGAATTAAAAAGATGTTAGATTACTCTAACAGTTAAGATTTTGTTAGACAAATAATATGTGCATTCCATAATCAAAATTTACTTTTTGGTTTTTGACCACTTTCAGCGGAGATTTTTCATCATAGTTTGCAAATGTGGCAGCAAATTTTTTGATTAAAACTTTGTTACAGTTGTTCAATGCATTAAAAATATACAACAACCACTACGTTAAAAATGATTTTTAACAGCGCATATTAGACACCGCTTTTATACAAAAGCGCTGCTATAAGTGAATTAAAAAAAAATACGGAAACTATATAAAATAATAAGTAAAAGCGCTGCTAAAAATGTGATATTAAATAATGCTTTTAAAAAGCCCTGCTAAAAGTATTGTTTTAGAAAGCGCTGGTAAATGACCACTTTAGACAGCGCTGTCTAAAGTCATAAAAAATTAAAAATAATAATCTGAAAAGCGCTGCTAAAGGATCCTATTAGCCAACGCTTTTCAAAAGCGCTGCTAAAGGTTTATATTAGCCAGTGCTTTTAGAAAGCGCTGTCTAAAGCCATATAAATGAAAATTAAAAAATAGAATCAGTGTATACTATTTCTCTTTCACAGATTCACGAACGATAGCAGAAACCCTTTCTCTCTCATTCTCACGAACAGAAAGCGCTTTTACGTCACCGTCGTACCAGCCCCCCTCGTCCTCCATCGTGTCTCTCGGTTGTCCTCCACCCACACCGGCCGGTTCTCAAGGTAGGTTCTTTCTTGAAAATATCTTTATCTCCATTGATGTCCAAACTGAGTTATCCTCCTATTGATAATGTACTATGCTAACATCTAAGACATTATCCTCCTATTGATGTCCAAACTGAGTTATAGATATGCATAACTGAGTTATAGGTATGCATTTTGATTTTTCGGTTCTTGGTAGGGCTTGATATATAACAACAACACTTTTAGCATTTAGCATTTAGCATTATTGCATTTTCTTTTGGTTCTTTGTTTTTGAATAAAAAAGATGATGATGGGTTTTTTTGTTATTTTAATTGGTTTATGAATTGTTTATCATGTTTATATTCTCCATGAACTAGTATTTTTTTACTTGTTGGTTGCTTGGTTTCTTTACTTTTAATACTATTTTACTGATATAAATTTCAGAATTGTTTAAGCATTATTACTCCTAAATACCGTATTTCCGTTGGAAAGAAATATAATATGATAGAAAAGATTCATAAGTGATTTTTTTCTCATACAATTTTTCAAAAAAAACTTGTCTAAGAACAAATTGTTAAGGTTTGTGGATTTAAGCTATTATAGCCCTATATATACAACTTGTTTTTGATGATCCCTTTGTATTGGTGTAGTTAGTCGAAGACCATCACCGATTCGCAGAACATCAAAGCCGCATCATCCGCCGTCGACACCAATAGCCCATTTTCTTTCTTTGGTAAGTCAAGTTCAAATTCTATCTGAATCGATCAATTAAAAAACACAATTATTTTTATATAGATATATTCATTTTTAGTCCATGTTATTAACTCTAGAAATAAATTTCTAGAAATAATTCGTTTAATTCAAACAAAAAGGGAATAATTTGTTTATAATGTTTTTGTTACTCGAATTAGTAGAAAAAATGGATCAAAAATGGATGTTTGTCGAACGGTTGTCACAAGAGTACGAGAATGAGGTATTGGAATCCGTTAAGTTTGCTGTTGAACACGTCAAAGACCCTGGTCGAATAAAGTGTCGTTGCTTGGGTTGTTGTTATATGGGTCAGGTTGACGCAGATGGATTGCAATCGCATTTACTAATGCGTAGAATTGATAGAAGTTATACGTGTTGGATATTTCATGGTGAAAAAAGTAACGACAACGTTGAACCAGGGGATAAAAGTAGTACGGCCTATGCTTCAGACGACAAGGACACAAATACATACGATTTTGATCGAGTCGAAGAGATTGCAGATGCACTTGAAGAAGATCTTCAGGATTGTCCTAAAATGTTTGAGAGATTGGTAAGCAATGCAGAGAAACCATTGTATAAAGGTTTCACTAAATTCACAAGACTGTCTGCGGTATTAAATTTGTACAACTTAAAGGCGGGAAATGGATGGTCAGATAAAAGTTTCAGAGTTATTAGCCCTTATGAGAGATATGCTTCCGGAGGATAATGTTCTTCCTAATCGAACCTACGAGGCCAAAAAAATGTTGTGCTCTATTGGCATGAACTATGATAAGATGCATGTTTGTCCAAACGATTGCGTTTTGTTTCGAAACGAATATGCATCGTTAAATGAGTGCCCTAAATGCGGTTTATTTCGTTATAAGAAAAAAATTGTCTCCAGCAAAAGTCTTATGGTATTTTCCTATAATTCCGAGATTTAGGCGCATGTTTCATAGTGAAACTGATGCAAGACACCTGACTTGGCATGCAGATGAAAGAATTATTGATGGAAAGTATCGACATCTGGCAGATTCACCACAGTGGTCGAAAATTGATAATGATTATCCTGATTTTGGAGAAGAAGCAAGAAACCTTCGCTTGGCTTTATCTACTGATGGAATGAACCTGCATGGTCTTCAAAGTATCTCACATACCACATGGCCTGTGATTCTTATGATTTATAACCTACCTCCATGGCTATGTATGAAGTGTAAGTACATGATGTTATCTATGTTAATTTATGGGCCTAAACAACCAGGGAATGACATTGACGTATACTTGACACCTTTGATCGAAGATTTAAAGATTTTGTGGGAGAACGGGGTGGAGGTTTGTGATGGATATAGGAAACAAAGTTTCAATTTGAGGGCGATGTTGTTTGGCACAATTAATGGTTTTCCAGCATAAGGGAATCTATCTGGGTATAGCATTAAATATCAACGTGTGTGTCCTGTTTGTGAAGATGGAACTGATACGACGCGTTTGGAACTTTGTCAAAAGAATGTTTTTCTCGGTCATCGTAAATTCTTACATTCTAAACATCACTACCGTGCATGGAGAAAAGCATTCAATGGAGACACCGAACAACGTAAAGCTCCACCTGCATTGTCAGGTGACCAAATTTTTGAAAAGGTGAAAGATGTGCGTACTCAGTTTGGCAAGCCTTTTGCGTATACGGTTGTCAAAGGTGGGTGGAAGAAGAGATCGATTTTTTTGAATTTCCATATTGGAAGTCTCTGTATGTGAGACATTTTCTCAATGTTATGCATATTGAAAAAAAATGTATTTGAAAGTCTTATTGGTACGTTACTCAATATTAAAGGAAAGTCTAAGGATGACCTTAAAGCAAGGGAGGACATGTTAAAGATGGGAATACGAACTGAACTAGGACCCATGAAGAAAGGAAGCCGAACATATCTACCACCTACTGCTTTTACTCTATCTAGAAAGGAGAAAAAGATATTGTGTAAGTTTCTAAGTGAAGTTAAAGTTCTAGAAGGATACTCTTCAGATATTAGAAGACTTGTGTCTATGAAAGACCTCAAGTTAAAGAGTTTAAAGACACATGATTTTCATGTTATAATGGAGCATTTTCTACCAATAGGTATACGTTCTATTTTTCCAGATAAAGTAAGAAGCGCAATAAATAAGTTGTGTTTTTTCTTTAGGTCAATTTTTAGTAAGGTGATTGATCCTGAGATCTTACCAACATTGCAAAAAGGAATTGTTATTACTTTGTGTGAGCTTGAAATGTATTTTCCTCCCTCATTTTTTAACATAATAGTACATCTAGTTATTCATCTTGTGAAAGAGAAACAGTTGTGCAAACCAGCTTATATGAGATGGATGTACCATGCAGAACGTTATATGAAAGTATTAAAAGGGTACGTGAAAAACCAAAGTCGCCCAGAGGGTTGTATTGTTGAGCGATACATTGTTGAAGAAGCGGTTGAGTTTTGTACTGAATATTTGTCCAAAGTTCAATCCATTGGACTCCCCAAAAGTCATATTTTTGAAAAAAAGGAAGGTAAAATATTAATTATAAATAAAATTGTGACAGTATCAAAAGATGAACGGAATCAAGTGCATCTGTATGTTTTGCATAATGACAGTGAGGTTGAGCCATATGTTGAAATGCACAAGGATGTACTCTGAGGGTTAAATCAAAATAGAAATGAAAATTGGATAGTACGGGAGCACAATTAAAGTTTTATACCATGGTTTAAGGATCATATTTTTTCAAAGCTTCATTCATACCCTGCTTCAATAATAGAAAGGTTGAGATGTTTGGCATATGGTCCAAGTTTACATGTTTTTTCTTATAGCGCATACGCAATTAATGGATACAAATTTTATACCAAA